AGCCGATATTTTGGAGCCAGCAAAACATGACGATTCCGAAACATCGAGGATTTGCGAGATTCAAGATCCAGGCCGCCAACACAATGCAGAAACAGAATCGAGGATTTTTGTAGAAACCAAGGCAACAGAACATCTCAAACCGATCGCAGACATGCGGTGGGAAAGCAATGGGGAGTTTTGGGAAACCGGGCCGAAAATTCCTCGAAAACGGCAGACTACAACAACTATTGGCGTTGGTGCAGATGGCGGTATTATTTTGGCGCGCTGTTCCCAAGAAACTGCGAGTTCAAGAAAAACCCGCAGTCAATACTTATCGCATTCGTTAGCGAACAACACTCATCCTTCAGCTCCAGAATTGGCAGCAAAACGTAACAAACAAATAATTGCCGAAACAACTCCCAGTTTACTACCTCATCAGGATAGCCTCCATAAACCTGACGTTAGTGCAAATTTAAAAACGCGTCTAGCCTTTCTGTCAGCTCGCCGAAGACTTGGACAAAATCAAATTGCAGCTGCTCATTTGTCACAAAAATCAGTGGAGGCGGAAAAGAAAAGCACTATGATTGGAATCAAGCGAACTCAGGAATTTCGAGACGCTATCTGTACGCGCCCACCACTAAACCACAAAGACCACAAATTGAACGGCATCAGCAAGCTGCCGCAAAGCAACGCGGCTCCTATCTATTCTGGAACACCGGTCCAGAATCCGTACTTTCCACAAAATGATCGTTTGCTGCAGTTACAGCTTCAGTCACCAAATTACTTGTCAACTCCAAGTTCACGAGAATTTCCAATTTACAAACTTTCACAACCTGAATCAGGCTTCGCCCCTTTCACTGCGATCCCATACGGTTCGATTCCATTTTTGCCACCAGCAAACATTTCAGCTTCATCTCTGGAAGATTTCTGCTCAAAAAACCCGATCAGTTTTCAATTATACAACGCATCAACGAATTCCAACAGTCATTTACTACACCCGGATCAAGCTCGACTGTATCCATCATCGCCTCCGTCATCGGCCTTAGCAGCAGAGGAGTTTTTACGCGCACAGGCAGCAGCAACAGCAGTGGTTATCAATCCATCAGTGACAGGGACGGCAGTTTATCAACAGTATTCAGGGCCATTACTAAATGCTGACGGTTCACTAACAACAAGCGGCACTACGACAAGTGGTCCTTCAAATCGGACGTTTCAGGGAACTGCTACTTTTCCGCAGAATCAGACCGAGCAAAAGTCGCCATTTAGGGATGGGTAAATATGTTAAACTTTTTATATGAATGGTTCATGTAAACAAAAAATTTTAGTATTAATACAGTGCTAATACAGTTCTAGAATTTTGAAAATAGGGAGTTGAAACTTTGAACATATACTGCAAGAAATCGTTCGCACAAGGCTTAAATCAGTTTTCGCTTATATCTTGTTTTGAAACCTCAGCCCATCCGCCCAATACTCGAGAACCAAGAGGTAAACATTTTGTGAAATTAATTTAACAAAGACCAAGGCAGTGAACCTAAAATTATACTCCAGACCTTCCTACACCCTGGCTAAGATTTTTAGATCTCAGTTTGCGGTTCACACTATTTTAAAATTTTAAGGACTGAAAAAGCTACAGATTATAAGCTTTTAAAATTAAATTTGGGACAACTAGCAGCCAGACAAGTTTCCTGACTCTGGTATTTTT